TCCACTTCCCAAACTTTATTTCCAAAAAACAATGTGGTATCGTCAAAAGTGTGAGGGGGGAAATGACAGATGGTGGGATATCTGATTTTATATCTTTTGTGACCCAAATTTGTTGGCATAGACAATCGCTGTCTCTGGTTTTATGTGAAGAGAGTTAAAAGCTGTGGTTTTGAAAGGGAAACTAAAAAACAGAAAGACTGCTTCCTCTGCTACTCTGAAAACAACCCTCACTGTTACTATAACTATTATTACAACTATTTCTCTAACTACTGTTACTACAGCAAAATAGACACCAACCAAACAGGTTCTGTACATTCTACCTATCTCGCCAACTTCACACATCTCCATTTCACAAACACATCCTACCTCACAATCTCTGAGATTGAAGAGATGAGCAAAGAAATCAGATTGTATAAGATTGTTACAAAAGTTAATAGTGATTATTTACTGTTGGCTTGCAGTTGGGCTTATGGAGAGGTTGTCCTCTCCTTGGCTCCTTAAGTTGGATGGATTAGACATGCAAGATACTCATTGTTTTGTTCAGTCTTAAGAAAAATTAGTTGAAGGTACTGGAAAAGTGGTCACTAGTCTCAAAAGAATCCATCCTTAAAAGGGAGGCCCCAAGTAGCTATGGATGCCAGATCAATTTGTTTGCCTCAAAATGATCACTCCTATCATGAATACCAACATACTCTTAGTCTTAATTGAAGACTGACCTTTCTAATCAGTGGCTATTGTCAAGAAAGGCATTATACCAAGTGCCATCAAGGAGGGACTATGTAAAACCATTTGATCATGGTGCTTGACCTGTCTCAACAATGACATCTCTCAACTCGCTGGTGATTTAAAATGCATTTGGCAAGAGATATTTCATAGTAGGGATGGTTGCTTCATGAGAATGCATTCCTTTGCTGGATTTAGAAGAAACTATGAAACCTTCAGTCTTTCACTGCATGATCATATACCCACCCCACAGGATTGTTGAAGGTTTGCATACTTAAGGACAGTTTTATTTTTTTTGTCTTGAAAACAGTACTGTTTGTAGCAATAAGCAGGTTGCTTGAGAAAAAGACTTTTTGTAATCCGAATGAATGATGTCCATGACAATATGTCTCTTTCTACTTACTATCTGATTGTCTACTTTCATTATCATCTTATGGTTAAGATCATTATAATTCTTTGCTTGAATTTTGTTTTCCATTCTCATATGTGCCATCTTTGTTTTCTATTGGATTAATATCTGGAGAGGCTAGGGGCCATTTCATTAATTTGATGTCTAAAACCTTTTGTGAAAACGAGCAATAATCAGCTTTGCGGAATGTAAAGGGGCATTGTTTTGCTTGAATAGACTCTTTAGCTTAAATCTTGGTTGTAACCTGTACCATTCAAAAAAACCTCTTGTTCAAGGACTTACACTAATTCTCTGCATTTATCTTGACACCATCATTAATTTTTAGGGATGTATAAGTATACTGCCAACAATACTGTCCCAAAACATTATTCTACCTATGCAGTGTTATTCAAATGGTAGCGTTTCATTATTTCAATGAAAGAATTGACTTCTAACCTAGCCATCAGATCCATCTAAAGTAACTTGACCTCTTGATTACTAAAATTGAGAAATTCTCTTTGTGATATATATTTGAAGGTGATAGTTTAGTTTCATGGCTTAATTTAGTAGTCTACATTTTTATTTTCTGTTTACATTTTCAACACCAGCTTCTTCAAATATTTTCTTGTTAGTGAATCCACTTGCAAGTTACTCTTAATTTTCCTCAAATGTATTTTTGTGACATTCTTAAAGTTAGATCTTTTTTGTTCTTAGTATTGCCAATGTTTTCAGTTGCATTTTTTTTTTTTTTTATTGTTCTTTGATCTCTGTCCAACTTATTTATGATTTCCAGTGTTGTGTTCCCATCACTAAACTTTATAATATCTTGTTTCTTTTGGAAGTTATGTCTTTCTTACAATCCATGACAATATTTATATATCTGAAATTTAAAACTAAACATTAATAACATGATAAATATTTCTAGAATGACAGACAGCCATTGAGTTGTATAATGTCACACCTTCAAATAAGTTATTGCAAATATTTCTAATAAAAATATATGGTGAAATCCACTTATGACTATATTCTGAAAATTTTACCAGTATTGTTTAGGTTAATAATAATTTTATTGTAAAAACATTAATTTGCAAAATAAAATCTTATATCATTCATAATTACATATACAATAGAATCCCTGACAACCAAACTAAGAAGGCCTTTCAAATCTAAGGAATTGGATACAAAGTCTGGATATGAGGGGTTCCGGATATGAGGGATTGGATACAAAGTCTGGATATGAGGAATTATATTTAGATTAAAATAAAAGAACTGAAATCTGGTTTAACATTTATTTCCAATGTTTTATAGTAAACAAAATAAGTTAATGGTGAGTGAAATATAATGGAAATGATTTTATGGAAAAAGAAATAAATTATGTAATGTTAAAATTCATTAAATTAAGTATGCCACATATGCAAAACAATGTAACAAGTATTTTTTAATCACTGTTGGATGATGATTCTTTCTCTTCTAATGTCATTCTCAACCTTTCCTGCATTTCATTTTGCTTTTGTTCTTGAAATTTTTTAAACAAAAGACACTTTTTAAATCTGCATGCATTATTGCAATCGTCATAGCTGAATGCTAGCTTTCTTTCCATAAAACTGACAACCTTTTCAATAGCTTTTTCAATCCAGGTTTCATCACAATCATGTTTTTTTTTATTTCCTTGTTCATTGTGACAGTGAGAACGCTGGAGAATAGTTTCTTTGGAAGATTTTATATCATACAATGTTGACTTTCCTACGTTGAACTCGGCCATTAGTTACAATGAACTTTCACCAGCATCTAGTCAGCTTAAAATTTCCACCTTTGCGATAACTCCAAAATTGTTCTTTTCCTCTTATTCCCATCATCTTTTGCACAAATACAAGCCATTAGGGTGAAATAAGCATAAGCAATTATCCAAAGTAAATTTCCTGAAAAACAAAAATTTTAAATCAGTTTCATATCACCCAAATAGTTCAAATATACACACCAAAATCATGTCCGGATATATGCAGGATTCTGGACATGAGGCATTCTACTGTATTACAAATAAAATGGGCATCCTTTTTTCTTTTTTTTTTTTTTCTCAAGACTTTGGTCATTTGGCTGATAATGAAGGAATATTATTGTGATTGTAATCAATTATAAATTAAAAAAGGTTTGAATTTGTTACCAAAAGAAAAAAGTTTAACCAAACTGATTTTTATCATTTTAGCACTTTTCTAAATAATTATTTGTTAAATGTATAAAAAAAAAAATATTTGTTCAAGTTAGAAAGCTTTTGCTGATAATTACCCCTTTTAAAATAGGCATTTGTCAAATGTCAATATACAATGTTGGAAAAATGTGCCCCCCCCCCAAACTGTCAAAAACTTTTCATTATACTTCTTCTTTATGGACCGTGTTCCCTTAGGCTGTGGGCGATCATGGCCCTCCACAAACTCCTGTCCGTAATAAACCCTGTTCCACCATCCATTTAACTGAATTTATAAAGAAAAAAAAAAATGCAATCCTGCAGATGGCTCACGCTATATGATTGGACTTGATTGTATTTGAGAATAGGTTTTTATACATTTTAGTCTCCTACCCCACCCCCAATATTTTTTGTTCTATTTTTGTACCCAGCACAAAATTTTCAATATATTTGACCTCTATAAGAATGAAATATTTTGGTCGTGAAATATTGTTTTGATCAAAACTGTCACTATATTTAAGTTTATTTTAATTTCTGGAATTTTTTTTTTATCACATCTCATTTTTAATGTGTATGTCCATTTCTTTCTGAGGAGATTTGCACATGCTAAAATTTGGTGTATCATAAAACATAATCTTGACAGTTTTTTGACATAATGTTTTTTTTTTATTTCTTCATAAAAAGTAAACATTCATAATCATAAACAAGAGAAATCTAAATGAACGTTTTGAAATATGATTAATCTTATGATTTTCATCCTTATAAGATATAACCAAACTTGTAGTATTCTAACTTTTGAACTCATGTTGAAGATTTTTACTTGTAAACTGTTACCACTAAATTATTTTCTTTTTTTTCTTTTTATATCCATGACTATAATTTCTATTTAATTGATAAATGCACCACATCTATTTAAAAACAGCTTGCCTAAGAACTTTTTAGTCATCTTCTTTCTCGTTTTTTCTTTAGTAATGTAATTGGGAATCATTGCAGTATTTGTTGAACAGAGTTGATTGTATTATTGATCATTAGAATATTTAGTGCGAGTCTCACATTGAATCTTTAGATTAATGCTGATTGAACATTCTGTCTAAAGTTCAATTGTTTTATTTTTTTAAAGTACTCTTTAAAATCATTTGCATACAGAGGAGGTAAGGGGGGGAATAATGTTGCCTATATTGATAAAGTAAAATTATATGTTTGTACTTTAAAACATACCTTGTTAAGCAAGTGTTTAAATGGTGTCTCTTTGAAGATGGTCACTAGTAAAAGTAGCAAATTATTTATTTTTTTCATAGAGAAATCATTTTCTATATAAATCATAGGTTGTTCGTTATGCAAATTTCTTTCTCAAAAATCATTTAGATATAATTTTTCATCCATGCAGTAGAGTTTTGTATTTCTAATATTAAATAGTTTACTATCTTAACATTTACTTTTTAATTTTAAAATTTTCTCTGATTTTTCACTTTTGGGTTAATTATTGGCTTACCAAATCTATCTAACCACAGATAATATTCATTGTTTAATTTTCTTTGATCGTATTCAATAACCCCATTAACTTTCCAGTTTCTTTCACTGCAGTAATTGTTTTCTTTTCATCAGCTTTCTGTCTGCTTTCAGAATGCAAGAAATGTTCAGTCACTGAGTTTTATATTCATCTGATTCTCATTCCATCATAAGATCACGATAAAGCCTCCTGTCACAATGTTGCCATTAGATCAGAAGGGAACTACAAAGACAGGTAAGTTTAAAAAAAGAAAAAAAAAAATTTCCAGAAACAACTTTGCTTTGCTTTTAAGTATTTAAAGTAAATGATTAAAAAATTTGTAAATATTCTGCTAACTATAGGTACCTCCACGAAATCGCTAAAAAAAGAGCATAGCTTGATGAAAAAGACGCCAACCTTGCCGAAAACTAAATTTTATTGTCTAAATGCTTATGTTATTATTAAGAGGAAAGACCAAAGTTTTTTTTTTAATTATTTTTAAAAAATTTTCCTTCTTTTTAGAACATTCTAAATTTTGATTAAAAAAACCTTTTTTCTATTTGTATCAGCGGAACTAGTAAATAACATAGACAATTTTAGCACATTTTTTTGGTATGACACACATTAATTTGAAAAATCGTGCAAAAATAGAAATAATTATCGGATGTTAAGGAAACTTTCAGGAACTATTCATAGATGATCGAAATTATTATAAATATGATTTTTTTATGAAAGTCATGGTAGAAATATTTTAAAAAATATTTATTACCCCCCCCCTAACTAATTTTATGAAAACGCTAGAAATTCGATTGCATCGGTTTTAGTGATTACAATAATTAAAAGCACAGAGCTTTGAGGAATGCAAATCATGTTTTTTTTTTTTTGTTTTTAATTGGATATGCAGTACCTGAAAATCAGCTCTGAATTGTAACATACAAAACTCAATAAAACAAAGATATTATTTAATTTCAAATGCTTTTATTTGCTTTTAGTTGTTTTTATGAATATGGACAATATTTTCTGAAAGCAAAAAAAATTTTTTTCGATGAAAATGAATTTTTAATACAATTATTTGTTATTTCATTAATTATAATAGATTTTACATTTAAGTTGTTAAAATATTATAAAATTAGTTAAAAGTCCGCATCGGCTTTCATAAGTGTCCTTATGAGATAGATCTTTTTTTTTAGCGCGTTGTAAATTGTATCATTTTGACTAATCAGAAGATCCCCAGTAATTAAGAAATGTAATTTTGTGCTTATAATCGAGCTGTAATTATAAAATACGGAAGACCAACCAGAATATAATTAAGTTGCGTTATTTGAGTTAAGCATTGTTCTCCGCTGTTAAGGCCTTTACTTTTTAAAAACACGTGTGGAGAAGTTAATTTGATTTTTCAATTTCAACTGAGAAGGGTACCTACAAGTATCAGTATCATCTTATGAAATTTATATGATCTTATTTTTATATTAATCTCAGTTACGACATTTTTCCATAAATGAAATATCAAAATTAATAATAAAATGAATGCAAATACAAATAACAGTAGAATGTAATAAATGTACATAAAATTATAGTATTTTATGTACAATTCTGATAAAATTTCATAAGAAAGGTACCTATAAATTAATTAGATACCTTTCTTAAGAAATATGAAATTTAATGTCACTCTTAACAGTTTTATTTTAATTTCTTTACAATATATTTCCCATAAAGCATCATAAACGTAAAGGTGAAAGCTAAGTAAAAAAAAAAAAAAAAAAAAAATTAGACCGCTGAAAGTTTTTGTTAAAAATAACGGGGTAAATAATTTGTTCACGTAAATGTAAATTATTTCACTTTTCTCCTTCCGTAGAACAAATTAGCCTCATGGAATTCAGAATATATCATTCATCACATGTCAAGAGACGCGAAAGTTTATGACCTGCTTTGTTTTATTTTCAAATTACATCTTTTTTGGCACAAAAGCTAAGTTAAGTTTGGTTCAAAATATTTTAAATAAACATTATAATTTCTGATTTTCTTAAAATAAGTTTTGAAAAAATGATAATTGATATTTTAAAAAATTTCAAAGTCAGATTTCCAGTTTTTTTCTAAAATGGAAAAAAATGGTCAATTTTGCTGACTCAAAAAAAAACTAGATTTTTAACGAAAATTTCGGACGTGCTAGTAGAACGATTAAAAATGGAAAAAATACCCCAAAAATACTTTGACCTTTCCTCTTAATAATAACAAACATTTAGACGATAAAATTTTGTTTTCGTCAAGTTTGGCGTCTTTTTCATCATGCTATGCTCTTTTTTTAGCGATCTCGTGGAGGTACCTATGCTAACATGATTTCACACAAGTGTCTGCAGTAAAAGAATTCTTCTTTTTCTAAGAATAAGAAGGAATCATTGTAATAAAGAAAGTACATCTTCTTCTCTTACACATTGTCAGAATAAGCCTTAAATCAGATTCATTAGTAAAGTGTTTGAGTTAAATTCATATTTTATAGCCTGTAAGTAGACTTAATTTCCTAACCATACTCTTAACTACTGTTTGACACAAGAATAGGGTACATCAACTTGTAACAAAGTGGTAATATTTTACTTATATATTGATTTCTTTTTAGTTGGCTTAACATGGACTATGTTTTCATGCATGAATATGTATGATTAAAAGGGTGTTTCTGAAGATGTTTGCAAAAGAACTTGCATTTTCAGTCACCAGATGTTGAAATTTACAAAAAAATGTTGAGAATGTAGCGTGTCGAGGGGCAATTTTCATTGTGTAGCGTGTCGAGGGGCAATTTTCATTGTGTAGCGTGTCGAGGGGCAATTTTCATTGTGTAGCGTGTCGAGGGGCAATTTTCATTGTGTAGCGTGTCGAGGGGCAATTTTCATTGTGTAGCGTGTCGAGGGGCAATTTTCATTGTGTAGCGTGTCGAGGGGCAATTTTCATTGTGTAGCGTGTCGAGGAATAGTTTCCTAAAATAAAATAATTATTGACCCCTTATTTACTGAAAGCATGAATTTAAAAAATAAATACTTAGCAATTTTAAACTGATTTCTTAAATTTTATCCATCAAATCTTTAACTTGGTAATTTTGTAATCTCATAAATTAAAAGGATTGCAGTCATGTTTTTTTGTGTGATTTAAAACAAAAGATAAACACTGCAGAGATGCATTTTGTATTCCATTTATGATACAAACAAAATGAATTTTAAAATTTTGCATCTTTCTCTAGGTTTTTGTGCTTGCATTTTAAATTAGAATTTCTACAATAGGAAATTTTAAATCTGTTTCTTCAAAGCATTAATTTTTACTATTCTATTCTGTTTACAACTTTAAAAAAAATACAGGACTCTTAATATCCTGAGAGTTAAGAGAATTATGAATATGTATCTTTGAATAAATCAGTTAAAAAAATTTTGAATTGATATTTTGGGAATATGAAAGAACAAATGTTATAATCACATGGTTATAATTAATGTTTGTCTGGGAGATTGGATTGGAAGAAAATTAAAATTTTGATGCCCTCATATTGGCTTCAATCAACACCTACTCTTTTCATACCAACAGGAATGGCATCTTCCTTGAGCCCAACAACTGTTGGTATATTATTTACATTATTGTCCTCGTCTTTGTCGCCATATTTATTAAAACATTTCGGCCATTGTACGCTCCTGCCTTCTTCAAGTGGTTGGAATGTCGAACTGAACCCTTTATTTCGCTCACTGGGGTAGACTGTTCTAGTTCCACGTGGCATGTTTTAATGGATGTCAGTTATCAGTTATCTCCTGTTAATTTCTCTCTGAAAGTTCTCCACTGCCTTAACTGGGTATTGAACTCACACTCTTTGGGTCCTGTCACTGGATCTAACCAACACCTTTATGCACTGTGCCATGTGTCCTTGAGACAGAAACTGTTGGCATCGACAACATTCTTGAAAATTGCTCTCTAATTGGATTAACCACAATTGTTGAAATCTGTTTTTTTTTTTTTGTTTTGGTTTGTTTTTTTGTTTTTTAGTCATAGTATGTGCACCTTATGTCTAACCATCTTTATATAGCTTCAGGTGACTGATAATTTTTTAATTTAGAGTTGTCTTTCTCTTAGACTGGTTGATAACCATGCCTAAAGAGCCCAGTCTAACTCATAGCTGGCAAGAGAAGAGTTTGGATTCATACCTTTCCCAAGGATATTTGTACAAAAGTGGATGCAATGAACTCAGCTAAAATTCATACTTGGCTTGCTAATTTCTTCTTCACAGCTGCTAACCATTACACTGCCTGCATATCTATATCAGCTGGAATTTTCTAAAATAAATCTTTAAAAGTTTGTATTTAGATATTTGTATTTTGCATCTACATAGATATATTCACAAGCATGAGTGCATAACCTATATCTATAAGCTTATCTTCTTGATTGCCCCTGAATTTCATAAATAAATATCTGCAAAGCTGGCTAAGACATTAAATGTTTTCTAATGCACAAGCTGAAAAAAAATTTACAAAATTCTGCAGTCAATTGTTTTCCTCTATGAAATGCAAATCTCATTAATTTATAAGAATTTGTTTGAAGTATTTTATTGTAATGAACATTTAATACAATATTAATTTGAAAATTACAGACTACTTATTATTCATAATTATCTGATTAATTAAAAGTCAGTCTCATTTAATTTATTAAATCATTTAGTCATTTTGCTGTTTAATCAAATTATCATAGATACTAAAACACTAACACTTAATAAAGATGTTTGATTTGTTTCAATAGAAGGTAGAGTAGGGCTTACAAGAAAAAACTTGGAATATTGAAAATTGTCGCTTTATGAAAATATCTTACAATTTATGTTATCAAAAGATTTTTCTATATAATTTTTTGTAATATAGTTTTCGAAATCGATGCAAATATTACCGCCATTGTTTATTTGTATTCAATAAAAATTAAGGGAGATAACTTAAGTTTGTTTTAGCTTTTATTATTCCTTTGTATAATGTATTTACAACATAGAAATTTTAAAAGTACCTCCACTAATTCGCTGAAAAAAGAGCATACATTGATGAAAAAAATGCCCCAAGCTTGATAAAAACAAAGTTTATTATCAATATCTGTTATTATTAAAAGGAAAGACCAAAATATTTTCTGATTATTTAATTAAATTTTTTTATCCTTTCTAGCACATTAAAAATTTTGGTTAAAAATCTTGTTTTTCTGGCATCACTTTTGGCAAAGATTAGTATAGGAAATTTTAGCATCTTTTTTTTGCTGTAAAAAACAACACTGATTTGCAAATTTTTGCAAAAATTAAATAATTGTCAGATTTTAATGAAACTTTTAGGACTTGTTCACAAATGAGTTTTTTTTTTTTTATACACCTGTTGAACACACATACGTGCACACACTTTTATGGAATTCTGGGAAATTAAATTTCACTACCTTAATATTTATATTAGTCCTTGGAGAATTTACAAATTTTATTTATTTATTTTTTTTTGTAAAACAGAAATACCATTTACCAAAAATCTGATCTGAATTGTAAAATAAAAATTGCAATTAAAATAAGATATTATTTAATTAGAAAAGCTTTTAATTGCTTTTATAAATATGATATATTAAGGACACAATTGTTTTAAGAAAAAAAAAGTTTTTCTATGAATGATGAATTTTTACAAGAATTGTTTTTATTTTTTAGTTATAATAATTTATTAATTTTTAAATCTTTTAAAATTCTGTATTAATTTTACCTTTTTTGATATTATTAACTAAAAACTAGTTACTTATAAATTGAAGAACTTGGTATAATTCATTAAACACCAATATTTTTAAGAATTTTGAATTTTTTATATGCGTATAAACATGTTGATATTTTATAGATGTGAATGTTCATAAGATATTATCATAAGAGTGATAACTAAAGTAAACTTGAAGCCAAAGTATCTAAAATTCAGTAAAACATTAGATTATAGAGAATATTTTCCTAAATTTTTAAAATTACTGAGTATTTAAAAATTATATATAAAAGGCACTCACATTATATTCAATGTTTTTTTACAGATAAAGCATCCCTCACACCCTGTAGAACAACATTAGATAAACATCCATCTGTCGTCAAGCTTAAACACATCAACAGCTTAAATAAGCAGCTACAGTCATGTTACAAAATGTACTTCTATATTTTAAACTTAAAGTAAATAATATTTGTTTCAGATCAGTTTAATTATTTTTTAAATCAGGTAATATTCCTTGAAAATTTTATAAAAATATATTTTATTTTTGGAAAGTTTTTTTTAATAAAGAGAATTACATTGCAATAAACATGGGCTAAAAATGTTTTTTGCAAAAAAAAAACACAAATTCCAGTCAATTTAAATAAATTAGTTTAGAGCAAAGTATTTTGCTTGTTTGAAATATTAAATTTAATTCATTAGCTTAGAATTAAAACTAAAATAAAAGCTTCAAGAAAGATTTTTAATTTTTTAAAAATCATTTTAAATCTTAAATTGTGAATCTGCGGTGTTACCTAAATAAATGTGATTTAGTCAACTTTTGAATAAATGTGATTTAGTCAACTTATTAGATCATATTAAAACTAACTGGAAAGGATGTTTTGATTTTGAAATTATTATTTAGATACAGACACTTCTGTTTTGATTTTATTTTGTCAACAGTGGATTAGAAGTATTTTTGAAGATTGATAGATGACATATTATTAAGTATTATTAATCAAATTTATTATATTTCCCTTTACAGTTTTATTACATGAGACTTAATTTTGGTTATCTTTAATTTTAATTTTTATTTTATATCAGGTAATCATCGGAAACCATATGTCCCTTTACGACGACAGTATCGAAGAGTTCGGATACGTATGGATGGACGCCTCCGTCACTGTCTCACTGTGTTATTGCTTTTCACTGTGATAGCAGTGAGTATATTCCAAGCAAGTGGCATAATTGCCGGAAACAAATCATCATTGTCACTTGAGACCCTCAGTGGCTACAAACCCTCTTCTCTTTTCATTCTCTATCTCCTCCGTTTATTGACTTTAATACCTCTGCCATTGACTTTATTTAACTTTGCTGGTATCATCTCGTTCAACACATTCCCACGAAAGCCAAAACTCCGCGGGTCCACACTCTTTGGTCCATTCATCTGTTTCCGTGTTGTAACTAAGGGCCTTTATCCAAAACTGGTACGTGATAATGTCACCAAAAATTTAGAAGTGTGTCGTCGTCTTGGTTTTGACAACTATGTCTTTGAAGTAGTCACTGATGAGACAATTCACCTGCCCAAATTGCCTTGTGTCCGGGAAGTGGTTGTACCTGATGACTACTGCAGCTCAAAAGGAACTCTCTACAAGGCACGAGCATTGAACTACTGTCTCGAGGAAGGTGTTAACTATTTGAATGATGGTGATTGGATTGTTCATCTTGATGAGGAAACATTACTGACTGAGTCATCTGTAATTGGAGTAATCAATTTCATCAATGAGGGGAAACATGATTTTGGGCAGGGTGTTATCACATATGCTGATGGGGAGATTGTCAACTGGTTGACCACCCTCTCTGATATGGTACGGGTTGGCATGGATTATGGAATGCTGCGTTTTTGTCTCAAGTTCTTGCATAAGCCTGTCTTCAGCTGGAAAGGTTCTTTCATTGTGTCAAATGCTGGAGTAGAGAGAAAAATTACTTATGATTTTGGTCCTGAAGGAAGCATTGCCGAGGATTGTTTCTTTGCTTTGTCAGCCTGGCGTGATGGATACAGCTTTGGTTTTGTAGAGGGTGACATGCATGAAAAGAGCACATTCTCTCTTATGGACTACATCAAACAGCGCAAACGATGGGTACAAGGGATTTTGCTTGTCTTGTTCAGCAGAATGTTACCATGGCGATGCAAAATGGGTCTAATGGTGATGATTCTTTCATGGATTACATTGCCACTCACAGTCCCAAACATTGTCTTAGTAATTTTATTCCCTTTGCCTATGCCACAGATTGTAAACGCACTTTGTGGCTTCATGGGTGGTACTGTAGTGTTTTTGTTTATATTTGGCGCTGTTAAGTCTTTTTCAATGAGGAACATGGGGCGCTGTCAGTATCTCCTTTTATGTATTGCCCCAATTTTGGTGGCGCCAATAGCTATGGTCCTAGAAAGTATTAGTGTTGTTTGGGCTATTGTTGGTCACAGGAATCATGTTTTTGATGTTGTGAAAAAAGAATCTGACAGTACAGAAACAGTTTGAAAAAAAAAAAAAAAAATTAAAAATTCATTTAAAAAAAAAAACATTTACATAACATTTAAAGAAAAAAAAATAAACAAAAACATTTTTGAAAGATAAAAAAAAAAAATTTTAAATTTAAAAAATGTAAAGACAGTCACCTGCCAAAAAGACAGTTACAGAAACTTTCTATTTTTTCCTTCCTTTATTCTGTTTTTAAAAAAGAACAAAAAATATTTGGTTGAAATTACATGAAATCTTGAGTCTTATGCAAAATTTAGCTATTCTTCTAGCTTATTACTGTTCAAATGGTTGTTAAAACAATTGAAGAATTCTCATTTTCAGACTTTTTTTTTTTTTTTTTTTTAAATATTTTGGCTGGCTGGCTAGCCAAGTAGCTTTTTTTGAACAGTGAAAGCCCAGGAGATATTGTTGTTGTTTTTGTTGTTTGGGTAAGGGGCTTTTTTTTTTTCTTTTAATCATCACCCCCAAATCCAAAATTTTCTTCTACCTCTTGATTGACTATAAAAGAAATATGCTACTGCTGCCATTTTTAACTATAAAACAATGAACAAAAAAAAAAAAGCAGGGAAATTTAAAATATTAAAAAATATGCATAATCAAAGTAAAGTATCCACTATTTTACACTAATTCATTTGAAATTAAATTATATTAAATGTTTGCTATTTATTAATTAAAAATATATAGAAAATGTTCAGAAAAATTAACTTCATCAATAGGCTGTATTATCTTTTTTTTTTCTAAAACATTTTTATAAAAATAAACAAATATGAAAACAAAGCCATAATACTAGGCTAAAAAATTTCAAATAATTTGTTAGATCTAAAATATACATAAGTAAAGAAATTCTTTCTTTTAATTGCCTTCCAAAATGTTTCTTGGCACATTTTCTTCTTTTCAACAAAAAGTATAGAATTTGTTTTCATCAAAAATAAATCAATCACAAGCATCAGGATTAAATAAATTTAGCACATTTATGAATCACTCACATTAAAAAAATCATTCTTATCTTTTTGTCAAAACTAGGATCATGAAATTATTTATATTTAAGAAGCCATAAGTGATTACTGTATGTATAAATGAATAGGATTTGTTACTGGTGAACATTTGAAAAAACTAAATATTTTTTTGTTAATATTTTAAAATCTTTATTTCCTGTCCAGCAATGTTGTTCTATTAAGAGACAGGTACTTGTAGATTTAGTTATAGATACTCTTCTATTTAAATTATTTAAAATGAACTCTGGGTGTGCTGGATAGGGTTTTGAGTTTCACAACCTATTAACTATTTTCTTAACACTATATCAGTTAAATTTTACTTATTTTTTTTGGAAAGCTTTTTCATTTATACTAAATTAAAATTTATTAAAGCTGAATTACAAAATGATAGATTGAAGATAAATCAAAAAACTATTTCAATTTTCTGTTAAATAATTTAATTTGGAGCTTTTAAAATCTATGCTAATGATGTGAAAAGTATTTTCAGTTGATGAGAATTCATAGTGATAACATTACTAATCATCAGTTTCTGATTAAATAACAAAAAGAAATATGTAAATAGGAATGTTTTTCAATAATTTAATGTCTAAAAGTAAATTATTTTTAAAATATTTAAAAAGAAAACCTTAACACAAGCTAGAACTTCACAATCCATTACTATTCTTTCTTTTATAAAAAAAAATTTGATTTCATCTGGATGAGTGATCTGAGATGCTTTTCATTTAGTAATGAACTTTGAAGGTGTCCATTTACTGGTTCAAAGTTTATTATCTGTGCTATATCTATCTATATGCTATATGTCTATCCATTTAAGAATGTATAAGTTTTTTTATTTCCAGAATTTCAATTTCAGTTTTTCAATATCAGTTGGAATTCAGAAACGTTTTTTTTTCATAATGTTGATGTTTTAAAACTGCACTTAATGTCAATGTTCTTTATTACAAACATTCATCCAAGGTACTAAGAACACACAGTATATATGAGTACATAAAAAGTAAGCCAAGTGTCATACTAAAATATACATATTGATTGTACTACACTAATCTAATAATGATATTTTTTTTTCTTGGCCACTGCATTTTTTGTTCATATTTTGTTCTTTACTAGTTTTCCTGCTCTATAATAATTATTTATTACTGAATTTCAGTATTTGAAGATAATAAATTACGTGTTTAAAAAAAAAAAAAAAAAATGGTGGGGAAAATAAAAAATTAAATTTTTGAAGCCTCACTTTCTTTCTGACATTTTATGGCAATATTGGATTTTGGACGTATATTTTTCCCTTTGAGAAATGTCCTTTTCCTGAGAAATTGATATAACATTTTTTGATAAATTTATCTAAAAAGAATTTAAAAAAAAAATATCTTTTTTTTATTATAAATTCTGTTTTGAACTAGTTGGAAAAATGACACACTTTACCAAAGCAGGGCCAAGAAATTCTTTTTAAACTGTTTTCCATGTTCAGAAATATAGTAATCTTCTCAAAGATCTTCATGTTTTTATAATTATACATTTTATTTTCATTTCTTTTATTTTTATTCCTGTTTATCACTTTACATTTGAATCTTTGGGAGTTATCATTATTTACATTTGAACTAATATCTTCATCTTTGTTGTTGTCATCAATGTTTCAGCTATTGTTTCCTCTGGCATTTTTCAGGTGTTTGTCAATCCACAAACCAACACTTTAATCCATTAGGTTATCATCAGATTCAGGTTTGTCCCACTGTATTATAGTCTATTAGATTATATTATTGGTTTGTGTATTTGGTGATATAACAATTGTGAGTTCAATTCAGGTAGTAGACTTAATGGAAACAGGGAGATCAGTAACAGAGCAGTACTAAATAAAGAACAAGACAAGATATCCATAGAAATGTACAATTTACCTCCATAGACTAAAAAAGGGTTCAGTTTAAAATTCCCTTTACCAAGATCAATAAGCACCTGATGAAACCTGGATGGCATAATGGATGAAAAATTTAGATAATAACAATAAAGATGACATTAATTCAAATGTAAATAATTATTGCTTTACATCTGTTAATACTGAGATCTGGTTGGAGGTGGGGATACTTTTTGAGCAGTTTTAACTAAAAAAAAAAAAAAAAATGCAGAAGTTATTAACTCTGCATTTACCATCAGGGCTAAATAATTTGTAACAATTTTGTCTGTAAAAATTTCATTTAATTTAAACATTGCCAAATCATAAATTGATAATTAACCTTTTAAATTTTATTAAGAGTTAAATGTTTTTATTACGCATCTAATTTTTTTCTTCTTCCTTCCTTTGTTTTATTTGGTTGATGTCATTCTTTACAGCTTTTTTCTCCAGAGTCACTATTATCAAGATGAAAATGTTTTCATTGATTGGGAATTTTTCATTGAAATAGGTTTCTTTTATGTATATTAATTATGGGTTCATCTTGCATATTATCAAATTGTTTCTCAGGGTTCACCAAAAATGTTTTCACAAGACACCCCCACTATTATAAATGTAAACATTTACCATATCAGCTACTGATTTTTGTTTCCATGTCAGAGGGAAATATTTGATTTAGAATCATGCCTGACAATGGTTGTAATACTATGAGCAAGTCATTCAGATCTTGTACTTGTAATTTATTAAAATATTTAGCATGGCTGTATTAATAAGAAAAAAGAATTTCTTTTTTTTTTCTTTTGCTATAATAGTAAAATGGTTTTCAGATTCAAGAATGGTTTTCTTTCAGTAAATCTTGTTCTACATTCACTACACTATCTTCTGTCTAAATAATTCTGTCGTATATATAGTAATTATAATGGGAAAGCATTACTGACTGGATGATTTTGTAGTAGTAGGCCACGTTTAATCTATGAAATAAAAATATTTCTTATTTAAGAAATATTTTTTGAAGTTCAAACTTCCATATCGCGTTATACTCTTGAAAATAAATTTTTCTGTGCTGATAATTCTTTATCACATTGAGATTTTCATATCACATCCTGGTCACCAGTATGGAGGTTGGCACAGAATGTTGGTTTTTATATTCAAAATGAATGGACACTGGGTAAACATTGTTTTGGAAGGTTTATTTTCTTTTGTATCCAAATACAAACTGTATCCTTCTTGTGTGTCATAGTTCATAGTTTGGAATATAGAGAGAGTGAGACCCCCCCCTCCTTTTTTATAATAGACAGTTGTCCAGATTAATTCTTTGATAGAGGAGTGGATCAGCCTGTCTCACTTTCTGTTAAAAGAGGAGAGAGAGAACTGGCCTTGAACCCTTCTTTTCCTGGGTTTATATTGAGGTTGGTAAATGGTCATAGAGAGTGGTGAGTATCAGTAGGATTGTCCTTTACTTTGGCCCAGGGTTTTTGATCTTTTGTTTTGCTTATCCAAATATTTGGTTTCAGAAACAAATTTAGCTGTCTAAGAATATTGCTGTTCTGGTTAATGTGGTGTTAAGGAGATAAGTAGGTGATACTTTTCAGGAGATTTAAGAAATATTTTATTTATTAAAATTCTACAGTTTCATTCTAAGTATCAGTCAATATTGAAAATCTCAGTCTCAAAAAAAAAAAAAATTATCCCTTTTATGAGTAAGAACAAAAAGAGTTTGTTTTTATTTGTCAGATGGTTTGCTCGTTTTTGTTAAACTTTTACTGGACACATTATTAAAATGCTTGATTGATTTAAGTGTCCTTGGTAAGACTAAGTCTTTGATATTGAACACTTTTGCAATCAACTATTGAGTTGCAATGATTTGTAAGTATCTAAAAAGGTAGGATTATGCTATGATTGAGGAAAGATTGGTTGAAATTGTCTGCTTTCTCACATTGAATAAGATAAAAACTGTAAATATGTCATATCAAAACTCTCTTGTTTGAGTAAAAGCTCAGGTGTTCTTTAAATAATTAAATGACCATTACAGATAAGAATATAGTTAGTTGGAGAGAGGAGGCTGACTTGATCTCTTCTGGTTGGCTACTTTGAAACAATTGCAAAACTCAAGTTTCAAAAGCAAATTGTTGTTGATTTCCAGGCTTGTATCTGACAAAAACCTTTTCTCAGTTATGCTTATATTGCATCTCCTTATCACCAACTGTCATTCTTAATGTCTTTTGGTTTACATCCTGAGAAACTCGTGTGTAGAAAAGAGAGCAGCTTGTCACCCAAAGCTCTCCCGCTTATCATTGTTACATCTTCATTAATTAGTTATCAACAAAATAGACATTTTTAAATGTCATCATTTGCTCTGTCTTGCCACTGAGATCTTTTGTATGAACTGAAGATTTTGTATAAAAAAAAAAAAAAATTTGTGAAAACAAAAAAAAATATTGGAAAATGGTTTATGTGTAGCATTGAATTAGAGTAAAAAATATAAAATAATGTACCGTATTCACCAGCATCAAGGACACAGTTTGCATAACACAGAGGAATTCAGTTTACCATCTGGCATAGATAACCTTCCTCTGGAGTTAGCATAGGCCTATGAAAACCCTAACCTTCGCTAATTTTCTAGATTTATTTCAGGAACAAAAACTGCATCCTTGATGCTGGCAAATATGGTAACTCTATGCAAACTCTTTATTCTTTCTAGTATTTTACTTTTTTGCAGTGCTTTATACTACTGCAATATTTTAAGTAGAATATTTCCTCAAACATGAAAGCTGTATTTAAGAGAGATCTTTGTTTTTTTTTTTTTTTTTGTAAATATTTTGTTTTGAATATGAAGAATGTGACTCATCACTATGTAAATAACAAAAATAAGTTAAATATTGTACACTGAAAAGTATTTTTTCATCTTGTCCACCTTCACATCAAAAGAAAGTCTTTTTTTTTTTTTTCTTTTTTTTTTTTTTAAAATAATTCTTTCTCATGAAGAAGTATATAACTTTTGGAATATCTGCAACTTTGGTTTACTTTCTGGTCCGTAATTATCAGATATTTTATATCCTGTGAATATTGCTCATTTTGTACTAAATTCTATGAAAAATATTTTGCAAACACTTTTTAAATCATTTTCCCTCTGAAATCAATTTACTGATTTGTAACTTGTAATAAAACCTCATACATTTTGATCACCTCTATGTTACTCTTCCACTAAATCCAAACTCTGTAGATTTTAGTAATGAAATCTTGTTATATACCATGATTCTATCCAATCAGTTGGTCAGAACTTTTTTTTTTTTTTTTTTTTTTACTTTTTATTTTATTCACAATACGATGCCCAGTTTTAAATAATTTTTATAAGCAATTTCTTTTCATATTGCTTGCTCATAATTTACTTGATTTACGTATTAGAGTTGTCTTTTATGTCTGATAAAAGTAATTCAGCTAAATTATAATAATTATTCAGTCAGTTATGTGCCATGCGTGATACATGCTTAGGCAATCATGTATCTTTTGACTGACGAAGCAGATTTTTTTCCCGCAGTAGGTTGCTATTTCTTTCTGTGGTAGACTAGTTGCCATCCAAGGCTATAGAACCTGGTCTGTCCTGCTATTTACCCATAGCTGGGGGGAGAAGAAGAGGATTCATACCCTTTCCCAAGGGTATTGGCATGTAAGTGAATGTAATGGATTCAACTAGAATGCAAATTCGGCTCTCCAATTCCTCAATCCGAGCCGTTATCTATTACTTCACTATGCCTATTATAATAATACTTGTCTAAAGTATATTGTTCATATTATACTCACAAGTTTTGCAGAAATTAAGCAATACTATTTAGTATTTAAGAAAATCAATTATTATGAATGAAAAAAATCCACTTGAAGCTATGTACATACATATTGGAAGGACATAGAATAGATTTTTAAATATGATTAG